CAAATATCTCTTTAAGAAACCAGCGCTTACGGGTAGGCTAGCTCGTTGGTTGCTTCTTCTCTCTAAATTTGATCTAAAGTATGTTACTCGCAAGTCTGTCAATGAGAGTGTAGTAATGGTGTTCCTAGCAGATCACCCAGTAAAAGGGGATGAAATGGTAGAATACCTATTCCCAGATGAAGCTATTCTACAAGTTGAGGAAGAGATTTGGACAATGTACTTTGACGGAGCGTCTAATCAATACGGTTATGGGATAGGTGTGTTGCTGATTGCACCCGACAATTCCCATATACCTTTAGCCTTCAAACTCTGGTTCAAGGTATCTAACAACGAAGTAGAATATGAGGCGGGTATCGCTGGTTTGGAAGCCACCCTGGAACTAGGGGCAAAAAGGTTAGACGTCATCGGGGACTCGAACCTAGTTGTTTCTCAAGCAAATGGAGACTGGAAGGTCAAAGAAGAAAAGATGAAGATTTATCACCAAACCCAGGACGTTCAGATTCCTAGGTTTGAAAAATTGACTTTTACGCATCTATTGAGAGAGAACAACAAGTTCGCTAACGCTTTATCAACTCTATCATCCATGATAGACATCTCGCTTCGAGTCCAATTGCGTCCAATCATCATTGAGCAGAGGTATGCGCCGGCCTACGAGACTATTGGCGCAATAGATGAAGCGCAAGATCAAAACCCTTGGTACTATGATATTTGGAACTTCTTGGAAAATGAGGTTCATCCACCAGTGGCAAATGGCAAAGAAAAGAGGGCAATACAGAGAATGGCCATTCAGTTTGTCATCTGTGGAGGTAAACTGTACAAGAGGGGTCATCTGGGAATGCACAAGTTATGTGTCGAAGCAGCAGAATCAAGGTGCCTGATGGAGTCCATCCATGGAGGAGAGTGCGGAGCACACATGAACGGGGTAATGTTAGCCGAAAGATTCTCAGACAAGGTTACTACTGGTCCACTATGGCGGAGGATTGTATCAGTTTTGTTCGGTGATGCCACAAATGCCAAATTCATGCCAATCACATGAATATCCCGTCATCGAAGCTATATAACATGACTTCACCATAGCCTTTCTCAGTCTGGGGAATCAATGTCCTCGGCGCAGTCACACCGAAAGGGTCAAATGGGCATGAATACATTCTGGTGGCAATTGACTTCTTTACAAAGTGGGTGGAAGCTCTGTCTTATGTAGTGTTGAAAGCAGCACGTATGGCTAAGCTCATTCGAAACAACATCATTTTCCGTTATGGGGTCCCAAACGAGATTATATCTGATACTGGTTCCCACTTCAAAAAGGAAATGATCGACTTGTTGGAGAAATACAATGTGATTTTTCATAAGTCATCTACATACCGGCCATAAACCAACGGAGCTATTGAGGCTGCTAACAAGAACATTAAGCATAGTCTGCAGAAGATGGTTAAGACCTACAAGGACTGGCCAAACAACTTGCCATTCACACTCTGGGGCTATAGAACTTCAATTCGGATGTCTACAGGGGAAACTCCTTATTCTCTTGTCTATGGGATGGAAGCTGTTCTGCCAATCGAAATAGAAGTCCCATCACTGCAAGTTATGGCAGAGTGTCAGATAGCAGAGGCGGATTGGTAGCAGAACAGGTTCAAAGAACTGATGTTGTTTGATGAAAGAAGGCTGAAAGCATTGTACCGTGTTCAGGGTTATCAACGCAGGATGGTCAGGGCTTTTAACAAGAAAGTTAAGTCCCGGAATCTCAAAGAAGGGGATTTGGTGCTGAAAGACAACCGAGCTCTTATCCATGACCCTAGGGGCTAGTTCAGACCCAATTGGACTGGTCCTTACATCATCAAAACTATCTGGTCGGGTGGAGCTATTATTCTCATAGGCGTGGATGGCCTAGAATTTTCCTAATCGATCAACATGGACAAGTTGAAGAAATACTGTCCTTGAGAGGCTCGCTAGGCTGAAAACCTGAAAGGGCAACCTAGGCGAAAATTAGAGCATGAAAAATTGGAAATAAAGAAAAATTGAGCTTGTAAGGTTGAAAACCCTAAAGGGCGACCTTGGCACAAGTTAGAGCGCAAAAGGATAGTTTTAATACTCGAGTGAACCTGAACCGAACTACGTAAGGCCTGATTCCCATCTTCAGGATACATAGGCAACTTCATCCTGAAGTTCAGCCGTAAACACCTCCAAATCAATTGTCCTATCCATGTGTCTGGTCAAGTCATCTTTGTCTGTTCTTTATTTGAAAGTTCAGTTGTGATCTTTATTCTGAGAGTTGATTACAGTGCTGAGCAGTGTTATTTAGTCAGGGGGCAATTTGTGATCTTTTGATTTAGGGTTGTACATCTCAAGGACTGATTCCATGTATGAAAAGTGGTGTTCCTTATCAAAAATGGTGTTGAAAAGTTTTGATAAAAGTTGATTTTTGCTCAAATTTTGTCTTTTACAACTTAGACCATTTTTGGACCAAAAGGAAAATTTTCAATGCTTACAACCTTAATTTCATTGATTTCAATACAAAGTTCTCCAACTCTTTATACAAATCAAAGTTGTTTTTATTACATTCATAAAACTTGAAAAGTAAAGATCAAAATAATAAACTAGGGGCATAGATAAGTCAGGTGCCCCTGCATTCCCCGCTTGTGCTTGTGGAAGCTTTTGATGCCAAACTAGGCCCGATTTATGCCTCATCTTCGAGCCAAGTCAGGCACTCGCTAGAAAGAGCACAACTGAAACTAGGGGCAGGGGCCAGAAGCACTCTCGTCCTCCAAGCAGTGAGGTACCTAGCCAAATGTGAACCTCGGATGGGGAATGAAGCCGGATTTTCTACCCCCTCCTCTAGGCAAGTCTGATCATGTCCAAACTTACATCTGAATCGGAATAGAAAGTAGAATACATAATGTGTCAAGCCGATCAGCTGAATACGAGGTTGCCGAGTCATGTTGTAGCTCATTTCAGTCAGATTAAGCCAAGGGCAACACCAAGCGATGTCAGCAACAGACTTGTTGCATATCCAGTGGCACCACCATCCCTCATTCGGGAAATCCACTAGTTGTTGGCGGAAGAAGTATGCTCGAGCTGAGTATAAGGGGCAAGAGTCCACTACCTTCAGCTTATCCGTTAACCACACCTGGGAAGGGATGAAAAAAAAGAAAGATTAAAGAATAGAGAGATATATGTTGAGAGAAAAGTGAGAAAAGGGCTTTGAGAGAAAAACAGAGCATGAGTGCCGAGAGATGTGAGAAACACATACAAGAAAGGATGGGAAACATTACCTGAAGAAGTAGTGGACTCCCTACGAATTTGGTGGTCTCTCATCGATGGAAGGTGTCTAGGCCCATCAAAGTCTCAGCCAGCACCAAGCCGATGCAAGTCTTTCCCTCTTTCAAACCTTAGGCCACTTCAATTAGCCGAATATTAGACCCGCCGAAACAAGGGGCAAGGAAGAAATTTGCCAGCATACACAAGCAAAGGGCGTGTTGTCTAAAACCCTGCCAAAGAAGATTGCCTCGGTCGCCAAAATCAGAAAATCGATGAATCAGACTAGGAATATCCAGGTCTCCATCGTGGACCAAGGATAGAGACTCGTGAATTGTGTGCCCACACATCCATCCCAAAGCTTGGATGTGACCGAAACGAGGCTGAGGTATGATTTCCTCATCGCACTGGGATTCTATAAGTGCCTGAAATTCTTCAATTGTCGGGCATATCTCTTGTCCCTCAAAGCTAAAGATGTGTGGAATCGGGTTTCAGCATCTAGCCGCGGCATGAAGGAACAGAAAACAAAGTGGAGAATGGCTCAGCGGGAAAAGTGCATTTATGCCGAAACCTCGACAATTCATCTTTTCCGAGCCATCTAAAGTTACAATCCAATCCAAGAGCTTTTCGGGGAAAAATGGCTCCATTTGTGAAGAATTCGCAGCTAAAATGAAGAAGCTATGAAGTTCAACCTTTTGTAGAAGATAAGGCAGTGAGTGGAAGCTAGGTGCCAACAATCTGGAGGTTCTTCACTTGGGTGGCCGGCAGGCCACTGTTGATGGCCGGCAGGCCACATTGGTGGCCAGCCTTTCTCCTTTGACCGGCAACCTTCCTCTTAGATATGTCGTCCATCCTTGTGCCTAACATTGTTGGAAGCATGTTTTTTTTTTTTTGCTGTTTGTATGTTTTAAGGTCTTGTTTTTAGTCCTTTTGGTTTTATCAAGCTTGTTGAGTTGTATTTGAGTTGTTTTGTTTATCGAGTTGTTGTTGTGTTGCTTATCGAGTTGTATATCGCATTTTGTATTTTGGTTGTTGGTTGGTTCGTTACCCGATTAAGCGTGTTGTTTTAATCAAACACTCTTGGCCATTTCAATTCCCTGTCCATTTCATGCATATATAGTGCTCATGATGCAAAAAAAATGACAACATATTTTTTCATAAAACTGCTAATTTTATTTCGATCATGGCTTTTTACAAAAGTGGAGTACAGGTTTTAAACCAAAACAGAACTTCCTAAAGCTATATGTGTGCTAATGCTATAAAACAAAAGAAACTGAGCAAAAATACAAAAATCAGCGTTGGTCGCCTCAGGCTCGAAAACCCTCTTCGTCCTCTTCCTCTGAGGAGAGGACTCAGGGGCACTGTCTCCGTCAGCGCCGCTGTCTGAATTTGTCCCAGAATCTGAGTCGGAATCATCGCCGCTCTCTGCTCTAGAGCCTGACTCAGCATCACCTCCACTCTAAGATCTCGAGTCACCATCATCTCCACCCTCGGAGGACTCAGACTGTGGAATCACTACCTCCCTGGAGTCACTGGTCTCAACATCATTGTCACTCAACACTGGCTCTAAAGGGCTCCTCTAATTCCTAGACGCTTCTGAGCAATATGCCAAGTGCGGCAACCACGTCCAGAGTGGACACGATATTCATATTGCTAGGTTGCAAAAGTTTGAAGAAAGCAGTGTGATCAGCATCGGCTTCCAGCAATGTGGTAGAAAGGAGCCCCCAGTTACGCACTAGTGTCAGCATCTAATCAGGAGGTGGTGAAGAACTATTGTTGCTTAATGTGGCAGCAAGAAGGTCAGAGATACGGGTGAATCTAATCGATTCACAGATCATTTGAATCACGATGATCAGTGACCTCGCGCGATTTGCAGAGGAGATCGTAGAGGTAGCCAGACCATTTACGGCATTAGCGAGTGCAATCCGGCCAAGGGCTATGTTGTTCATACCTTTCCCAGAAGCACGTTCCAGGGCATTGTAGTTGCCATCGTAACCCAAGAAAGTGGATCCGGGAATTAGATGTGGAGAAGTAAGAGAAGTACGCCCGAACTTCAACCCCTCAGAATTCTCCATTTGGTAGGCGTCCAAGTAAAGGTTGTCCCGTCGAATCCTCAGCCTAATCCTATGATTGTTGGTTCGTAGTATGATGTCAAACCATCGAGTGGGTGAATCCTGCTGAGCGGGAAGTATAGGAATATTGTGTGAAAAGGTCTCTCCCAATTCAACACGCAAGTCCTTAATGAAGTCCCTGTAAAGCTCCACTACCCCTTTCAACGTTGAACTCTTTTGTGAATATTCTGCCATTAACTGAATTCAATCCTACCATTGACAATAATAATCAATTAATAGAAAAACATAAAACACTTACAGTCAAAGAGACTTATACAAAAATAAAATAACCATAGCCAAAACCCAAAAAAAAAAAAAAAACTTAAAAGCATTGGACACAAAACAAAAAGTTACAACGTTAAAGAAAAGTTCATATATAAACCATGAAACTAAAATCTCAAAAAAGAACACAACATTAAATAGCATATCCAAAAGTCAATATCAAGAAGTTTGTGAGGACCGAATATCAAGAGTCGTAGAGAAGCCGAATAGTTGGACCTGGAAGTCAAAATATAGGCATCGCATTCAGCCCCGTCTTGCACATTCAAATCCTACCCTATCCGGCCAAACAGCCGGTTGAGCAAGGGGCCGAATGAATAGCGGTTTGTAACAAAAGAAGCCGAATAAATAGTTATACGGCAGATTGAAAATGGTCCCAGCCCCGAGGCCCAAGAAAGAGAAGATATAAATAGAAGAACACCAGCCAAAAAGAGGTGTGTGAGAACTAGTATGCTTAACTTAAAATATAAGTAATCCAGAGAGAGTAGAGACTGACTTGGCCGTCGGAGTGCTAATTCCGACACCCCCGACTGGAATGTTCATTTCTTTTCAGGTGTCTATTTGAGGATCACAAGCGTCCCCCAAGATCCGAAGAGTATTTCCAAACCACTTCCCCACAAAGTTCATACATAAACCATGGATGTTTTTTTTTAATTAAAATTTATAAACTTACATGCACTACTGTTTAGGAATTACCAAAAAGAAAAATAGAATTTATACCCAAAAAAATATTTAATTGTAGGTTGAATTAAGTCTTGAAAACTCATCACCAAACAAAATTTCTTATTTCACATGTCACATCAAACTTTCAAAACTCAATTCAACACTCTATTCAAAAACCATAACCAAACAAATTTTCTACACTCAAATCATAATTTCACAACTCACAAACTCAAAACACAACTCATACTCTCAAATCATATTTACAAAACTCTACCAATCGCAACTTTAATTTTTTAAGTGAGGTGTCACTTTATTCGTTTATCATACAATACCCATTAGACTAACAAGAAAGTTTTATAGAACGGTTATTAGACCAACGATATTGAATGGGACAGAATGTTAGGAAACTAAAAAATAATATGTAGATAAGATGAGTATTACTGAGATGAGGATGCTAAAGTGGATGCGTGGCAAGATTAGAATGAATATATTCATGAATGGGTAGGAGTAGAGATGAACTCAAGATTTTTAGATAGAAGGCGAACATATATATACTAACAAAATTTTTAAAAAGAAAATATGAATTATAATATCAATTTCTACCACTATAAAAAGTGAAAAGAAGATGAAAATATATATAAATCACATGTTTTTTGTAGTCACATTTAGTTACAAAAAATAGCAACCATAAAACAATTTATATATTAAAGTGCGGTATCTTGAATTATTGTGCTCAATATTAGTTTATGTCATTAAAATGTCTATAATAGAACTGATATTAAGATCTCATATAATGTCTTTATCAATGAACGTGATTAAGTAATTAGGTAATACCTTATTCGATTCTTTAGAAATTTGAACTTATAATTAACAATGGTTATACGGAACAAATTTTATTTTATATTTTGTTAATATTATATGTCGATCTTATGTTTCATACCTACAGAGCGACAGTTGCTTAAAATTTGTCTAAAAGAAGAAAAACGTAGAGGGGGAGAGTCTCTATAATATGTAAATAATTGTAGTTAACACTATTATAATAAATGGTGTTTTTGAAATCATAGGGGGGCGATCGCCCTCCTGTGTCTATCATTGGGTAAGAGTATCACTGATAGAAGATAAGTTGAGAAAGAACAGATTAAGATAGTTTGGTCACATACAACGAACACCAATAGAGGCAATAGTGAGGAGATATGATAAAGTTATGGTAGATGGAAATGTTAGGAAAAGGGATAAACGTAAATTGACATGGGATAGTATAGTAAATAAAGACATGAACTTCCGTAATTGAATTAACCAAATAGCATTTGATAGAGCCAAATGAAGAAGAATGATTTATGTAGCCAATCTTATTCTATGGAACTTAAGATTTGGTTTGGTTATTATACATGAACTTAAACAATGAGAAATTATTTTTTAAAAATTAGATATTAGTTGAAGAATTAATAGTTTATCTTTTGTCAAGTCGATGTGCTAATTTGATAAAATGTGAAACAATAGGGTATTAACTTAGGGTCAGATTTGTTTATAGTATACTGTATGGAGAGTGTTGTCCCTAAATTTTGGTCTCTAAAACCTTACTTTTTTGTAGTGGTAATACATTGCCAACATTTTGAACAAAAAAAATCATACACAAAACTAAAGGGATCAAAATACAATTCAAAACAAACTATGGAGAGACCATATTTCAACAAAAGTAAAAAGTATGGACCAAATTGTTTAAATTGAAATTATGAGGATTAAAGTGACACCTCACTTAAACCATAGGGACTAATGATATAATTTACCCTATTATATATGAAATCAAAAAAGAAAAGATGAGTATCTATAGTTTCTTTTGATTTGAAGTTAATTATGTTGGAGTTTAACAAAAAGATGGTTTAATTAATTGTGTGATTGTATGTAATAAAATAGTTGAACAAATGAAATATTACCCACATTTTAAGTAGGAGTAGATATACTGATGTGAAAAGAAAAAGTGAAGGGGGATCTGTGTTTGGTTGTTACGCTGGTGGTATATTCTAAGGGGTTTGATTTGACTGGGTAAAACAAACAGAGAATATCGGCTGTTACATGCAGAGGCTTTTTGTTCATGCTTTTAGTAGTTTTATAAATAATTATAAGGACTTGTTTGTTAATTATATATTTTAATTAAAAAGTTAAAAAGTCATTATAAATTATTATATTATTATATTTTATTTTTTTGTATATTTTTTTATAAGAAGACAAAAAATTAATAAAATAACTTATTTTTAAACGAGACCTAAATTTATAAAAAAATTAAAAATTTTAATTATTAATATACATAAATTTTATAACTGATCTGAAATTATTTTTAAAAATTTATAGTAAATAGTAATTGTCTCAAATTATTAAAAGGTTAAATTACACTCACCTGAAAAAATTATAATTAATCATATATTTTTTATTGGACTTGCTAACAAGTACTTTTAGGGCACAAAAAAAAGATAGTAAAAAGTTTTAAAAATACAAGATAATTTTTGTTAAATTCAATACATTTTTATTGAAATCAATATATTTTTTAATATTTTCACATATTTTAAGACACTTTTACACACTTTTTAAACATTAACCAATACTTAGGGAACACTTGTTAATATTTACCCTTTTTTCATATAATTAAATTAATTTTTTTAATATGGTTAAAATATTGAAACTAATATAAGTGGTAATATAATTAAAACAAATATATATTTTAACAGGAAAGACATGAGAGCATCATTTTTTTTCTTCCATTTATATGAACTAACAAAAGAAAATGAATTTAACTTCTATACAAATTTAAACGTTTAAGGACAGCAGAATGATATAATT